GTTAATTCTCTTTGGTGTATCTGGCCAGGTTTTGTCATCAGTTCTTGTGCTGGGTAATTCTGAGAGTGGTAAGTGAGCCAACAAATAGGGTTCATATGCATTATCTGGGAGCAGGTGCTCAGGAGGAAAGGAAGAATTCTTAATGAATGTAGTTCTCTAATAATGAGATGAATCACCAGGAGTAGTAAGGAGAAGAGAAGCCTGAATGATTGTTGTTCACTATGTATAGAAGTTCATCTGGTCTTTGAATGACACACTGAGATAGTTGGAGTGTCAATTAAAAAGAATTGATTACTTTAATCACCTTGGATAGAATATAAAAGATTGTATAATACAGTGCTCTAAAATTATTACCACAATTACTATTGCATCAACCCAGTACTTTGCAACTGACTTGTTACGAAGTTCAGTGTGGTGGTGGCAGCAAGTCACACATCCTGAGTTTTAAGCAAACAACTCCAGATACTATCATTCCCCTTTTTGTTTATTAGGACATTATTACTGCCAGCAAGCGCCTTTGAACTGATACTTTGTAAAATGTAATACAGTCATGTGTTGCTTAACGATGGGGATGCATTATGAGAAATACATTGTTAGGCAGTTTCATCACTTTTCAACATAAACTGTACTTAGACAAACCTACATGGTATAGCCTACTGCATACCTAGGCTATTTGGTATAGTCTCTTGCTTCTAGGCTGCAAACCTGTACAGCATATTATGGTACTGAATACTGTAGGAAATACTTGCCATCATTGCCACACAATATCATTGTCATACAGTGGTATTTGTGTTCTTAACATAGAAAAGGTACAGTAAAAATTGTCACACCTGGTTAGGGCACTTACTGTTAATGGAGAGTTCAGGACTGGAAGTTGCTCTGGGTGAGTCAGTGAATAAGTGGTAAATGAACAGGAAGGCCTAGAACATTGCCGAACACTACTGTAAGACTTCCAAATACTGTACGCTTAGGCTACATTAAATTTATCTAAGAATAAAGTAATTGCAGTCTAGCATTACAGTGGCTATAATCACCAAGCAGTAGGGATTTTTCAACTCCATTATAATGTTAGGGGACTATTGTGGTATAGGCAGTCTGTCCTTGACTAAAACATTGTTATATGGCACATGACTACTTTATTGAAGATTGAGCACCAAGCTCAGTACAAGCCTGAGTACAAGATCCAGGGGACCTTGATGTAAAAATTGCTAATTTTCTGATATATTCCTACATTTCCTTTAGCACGTCTCTCAAACTACTAGTCTCTATACTGGTATCTCAGAGGAGAGGTTCCCAAGACCTATAAACCACTTTTTCATTCTGTTAATTTTTTTCCAAAAGAACAGGCTATATTGCTGACCTTAGTTAGCTTTGTATTTGATATATTCCTATTCTGTTACCTTATATAACTTGTTTCCCCAGTTTTGGTTGGAAATGGATTGTGATTTAGATTGAAGGCGGACATTTGTGGGAGAGTTTAGTCTTCTATCTTCTGTTTTTAAGAGCTGTGTGATTAAATCAGAAGCCAAAAGTAGGCATGCAAAGCCTTCCTATAAGAGAAACATTGTTCCTATAAGAGAAATACTGCTCCCTAGCCTTCCTGGAGCATTAATTCTCCTTGAGGAGACAAGACATAAATGAACAAAAAGAAAAATGAGAACATAGGGTTTAGATAGCCTGTGACAAATTTTATTTTTGCAAATGATAGAAAGCAAAGAAGACGTTAAGCAACTGACTTTTATTTAAAACGAACAATGATCTGGGAATTCTGAGGATGAGAGAACTGGGAACTAAAGATCCATGAGGGCAGGTAACAACATGTCTGCTCAGTGCTGCCTGTTGAGCAGTCCCTGGCAGATGATAGACGCAGTATATGTCGAATAAATGAATATTTGTTGAACAGTTTGAAGAGTATCTTCAAGGAGAGAAATACTGTATTTGAGCAGAGGTGAGATGTAAAGCAGGAAAGCTCTGGTAAGTAATCCAGCTAACAGTACATAGGGTCAAATTATAAGCAGTTATTGCTGAATTGGAATTTGGATTTTGTTCTTTAAGCAGCATAAACTTTGAAGAGGTATTGGCATCATTGAAGCAGTGTTTTAGGAGTAGTCTGAAGAGATGGTGCAGATTGCAGTGAAGAAGAAACTAGAGATCAACCTTGAGACCAGTTGTGATGTTGGATAGGAATTCTTTCAAAGGTAGTCAGCTTCATAAAATAATTTTTCTTCATGTGTGATATGAAAAGGTAGTTTTAAAGTCCTTGTGATTGAACATAATGGCATGGCTGTCTTTTTCAGTATTTAGTTTTCTGTGGCATTTTGTTATTGATCTTTCTGGCTTTTAGGTGATATCATGGTATACATTTTGAATATATTTGTTCTTCCCTTATTTGTCTTTTGTTAATGTCAAGCATAGCACATGAGACATTCCCTGTTGCTATGCAACTGCTAAATTCAATATTTAGTATTAATAAAACTGAGTGGCATTAACATCCAGTGAACAGAGAGTAGCAAAATAGGACTTTATGGTATCAAATCAATAATGTTTGTTAGGTTTAATGTATTGTTGCAGGTATGAGCAAAAGAAGAGTGACTTGTTTACAGTTGCTATTTTGAGCACAATTAGTTGTGGTTACATCTTTGTGTTTATGACCAGATTTTTGTGTTTGCGTTTGTTCTTTCTTTGTGATTGCTTTTTGATTTATGACTCAGTTTTTGTTAGTATTATTGATGTTCTGCTCAGTTTCTTTTTCTTGTATCAGATTCTGTTCTTCTTTAAAATTTTTATCTCCCAGAGCTTTCATTTGCATTTTTCTTTCCTGGCATTATTTCTCACTATATTTACTTTTTTCCTTTTCAGGAATTTACGGTCAGCCTGCAGATTTGGAATTTGTTACGATTTTATGTAAACCTAGGTGAAAGAATATTAGATTTGCTCTTCAGGATAAGACATACTTTATGATTTCCTTTAGCCATTTAAAGTATGTATTTGATACTTTCATGATGTTGAAATACTTTATTTGTAAAATCAGAATTTCTCTTAGTGTGGGGGCAGGTAGGAGGGCTTAAGAATTGGAGATAGGCTGTGGGAGTTATTTATTTTTTTAAGTCGAGAGTGTTCTGAAAATATCTGGTCTGCAGGGCCAAGATAGACAGTATCTAGCAGTTTCTTCTCTTCTCTTACTACTGCCTCCCCACCCTCACGGCCCTACCCTAACCCTTTTTCCTACCTAGTGTGGGGAAGAGAAGGAACCATAACAATTCAGTGGAAAATGTTTTAATTTTTGTAGGTAAATAATAAACATAGATACCTCCCATTTGTTTGAGTGGTTAGTTTGATTTTGCTAACGTCCTTGGAATAATTTTGATGGGAAGTAAAGAGAGTTGAAAAATAATTGCTCCCTAACAATAAATGAAAAATCTGGAATCTAGGAAACATATAGTATAGAAAAACCAGCTCTCTCATTACAGTGTAGGTAAACTAGAGATTACTAAAAATTGTGGCTTAATACTAAGGCAGAGAAATCTCTTACATTACCATCTTCTTATAGCCAGATAAAATACCATTTTCAGAGGCCATCAATTCTACCTCCTCCTGAATCTTTTTTTGTGATTGTATTTGTGGTAAAGAATTGATGGATGCGAGGGGGCCTTATGTATCCAGCAGGCTGTAGTATTTTAAATAAAGTGATACCTTATCTTTTAAGCATGGGAGTGCTTTTTAACAATTAAAAAATCACAAGCCTCTAAGTCAGGCGTCCCCCTGAGGCCATTTATCCGGCCCCCTGCCGCCCTTCAGGAAGGGGCACCTCTTTCATTGATGGTCAGTGAGAGGAGCACAGTATGTGGTGGCCCTCCAACGGTCTGAGGGACAGTGAACTGGCCCCCTGTGTAAAAAGTTTGGGGACGCCTATTCTAGGTGACAGATAATGTTACAAAATACACAGTGCCCTAAGCTGTTAGGAATTCAGTAACACTTTTTATATTTGCTTTGTTGTATCATGCTCATATTTGAAAAGTCGTATGTATACTGCAAGAACAAGACATGGCCATGCTCAGGGTACATACGATTCATAGACTCCTTGTAATAACCATTTGAGTTCTCAGTGAGGTCCATGGCACACATTTTGGGAACCACTGCTTTAATCCATTATTCCTGGTATGTTGTTTAAAGATACAGTCTGATACCTGCTCTTACTTTCTTACTCTCTTGACCCATAAAAAATTGCAAGATGGCAAAGATATTTATCATGGAGTAGATCACCAGTATTTGAGGTAATAAGCCAGAAAAAAAAAAGTTTTTGATTTTTTTCATTTTCTACTTTCACACTGGTAGAAGGACATAATAGTTTAAATGTTTGTATACAAGTATATTGGATTTCTCTCTCTCTCTCTCTCTTTTTTTTTTTTTTTTTTTTTGGTAAGTATAATCAGTAGGGTTTACATTTATAAAGGAACCAGCACATAGTTATTGTGGCAGTGTTAAATAGTTACAGAAGTCTTTAAAAATATATATATGTCGTAGCTTGTATGTGTGTGATGTCGTTTTTCTCAGTGAAGATTTCATAAACTGTTAACTCAAAAAATCTGTTGTCTCAATTGGTATTCGAGAAAACACTTTAGATAATTCTAGTAAGTTGTGGAAATTTTGAAGCAGTTTGATTCATTCATTGAGAAAAGTACCTTTTAAAATAGAGCCTGAGAGTTTGTACAAAGAGGTGTTTGGGATTTTGTAAAATAGTAGGAGAACCTGTGAATTTCCATTCCTTCATTGGTCTTGATCTTGAATGTGCTCAGAATTTGTGTTGAACGTTAATCATTGACAGAAATGCAAATGCTACTTGTAGATTTGCCGTTGACACTTTTTTCTAAGCATCCCTTCAATAGTAATCCAGGATCCTTGAGAACTGGAAGGAAAACACCATCATTTTTTTATGCAAAGATTTTTCAATACTAGAGTGAATATTACTGTGGTAATGGATTTTGTTTTTATCCTTTCAGGATTTGAAAGTATTCTTGAAGGGCTGTTTGGACCTGCATTATTAAAAGATCTCAGTTTATTTAAAGGTATTCAAAAAATTTTTGGTATTTCAAATTCTTCCTGGTGACATACATGATACCTTGGTGATTTAAGCCTCAGTCTCCTATTTATTCACAGTTTCATGTGGGTTAAAGCTGTATTCATGTAAGCGTCTTTTTGTGTTCAGTTGATATTGTTAATGTATGTATTTATGATGTATTAACTAATGAGCAGTTAAGAACTTAAGAATTTTAAGAGTTAAGAATTTTAAGCGAAATATGGCCCAACTACTTAGGTTTTTGTTAAACAGTATTTTGAAATTAATTCTAATTTATTTTCTGAAAAATTTTCTTTTATGACTATTAATTTGTTACTTTTTTTTTTTTTTTTTGCAGACTGTGAACCTGAAAGCATTTCTGATTGGACTTTTGATGAAAACTGTTTATTCTGTTGCTTGAGAAGAGATAAAGTAAAGGTAACCAAGAAGCTTGAGTAACTTTTATTTAGTATAGTACTTTAAAAGTTTTCATTTCTTAAAACATTGTATAACTTTGTTGGAGGATTGTAGGAAAAAGAAAGTATGGGTTTATACTTATGAAAGAGTTTGATGGTAACTCTGGGTTTTGCCATTTAAATTCTTTCCATCTGTTGATTAACCTATTAAGAAATCTATATCATACCATGCATTTTTAAATTGTTGCTGTTGTTCTGTGTTTTTTTCGCTTTTTTTGCTTTTTTCTTTTTTGAGATGGAGTCACGCAGGGATGCCCAGGCTGGAGTGAAATGGCACCATCTCAGCTCACTGCAGTCTCTGCCTCCTAGGTTCAACCGATTCTCCTGCCTTGGCCTCCCGAGCTGCTGGGATTACAGGCACCCACCATCACACCCGGCTAATTTTTGTATTTTTAGTAGAGATGGGGTATCACCATATTGGCCAGGCTGGTCTTGAACTCCTGACGTCAAGTGATCTGCCTGCCTCATCCTCCTAAAGTGCTGGAATTACAGGCATGAGCCACTGTACCTGGCCCATGCATTGTTTTATTTATACAGTTCACTAGGCAGAGTAATTAACTAGGTCTCAAACCATACCCCAGGCTGGGCGCAGTGGCTCACGCCTGTAATCCCAGCACTTTGGGAGGCCGAGGCGGGCAGATCACCTGAGGTCAGGAGTTTGAGACCAGCCTGGCCAACATGGTGAAACCCCACCTCTATTTAAAAAATAAAAATAAAAATAAAATTAAAAACTTGTGTTTATTGTAAAAATAAAATGTGTGGTAATTCAAGGAATCAGAGTTATTTGTAGTGCAAAAAGAATGGTAACCAAAAAAATAAAAAATAATAATTAAAAAAAGAAAAAAGGGGGCACAGGAGTAAAAAAAGAAGAAAAGAATGATAACGTAGATCTAGATCAAGCTGTTACTAATTCATGTAGATTTATGATGTACTATGGTTTATACTTTAAAACATTTCTTCAGAATATCTGAGCATGAATGCTATTATTTTCAATTGTATAAATTGGCTGAACCTTTGTGTATCTGTTGTTTTATTGCTTTGTTTTAAACATAACAATTTTGCTTTAGAAAACATTTCATTTGTTGGAAACATTTATTAATAATGGTTTACTGTCTTATTTTTTTTCATGGTACTTCTATTTCCTGTTTTAAAGCCTTGGAAACACTTTCTTCTGCCCTATACATTCTTAACTTAAATCATTGACCAGATTTTATCAGTTTTTCCCTGATAATGAATTTTATTCTTTTTCATTCCCACAGTTATTACTATAGTTCTCTCTTAATTTTCCTCAGTCTCTTAAATATTCCTACAAGGTTAAACTACTTCCAACCCTCACCCCTCAAATGGTGTAGAAATGTTACCTTATACTTAGTCTTTGAGGACTTTCTCATTGTCTTTTGGATTCATTAGCCCCACAGTGCCACAGTACCCTCCACATTTTAATCCACTTTTCTCTCTGTACGGGTTTTCTTTCAGCTAAACTGATCTGATCATTTAAACAAGATGCTTTTTACTAGTCTTTGGACTACACCATAGCATACCCTTTCTCTATAGCTAGAAATTCCCTTGCTTTTTCTCTTAAGCCCCACCCTTCCTCTGCTCCTATTGCTGTTTCAACCTTTCACACTGTTGTAAATATTACCTGTGTCAATTACTTGTCAGTTAATATTCTGCCTTATTTTGTTCATCCTTTTCTGTGTTTGAATCTTTTGTTCCTGTCTACATTGTCAACTGCTAAAGACTAGATAGACCATGCTATATGCTTCCTTGTACCCCTGCATATAACCATTGTATCACTATTTATCCTTGTTGGCAAGTTGCTTTAAAATTTGAAAACCAACATGTAGCCAACTTAAAAGCTTCTTAATGTTCTTTCATGGCTTCTTTTTGTTGTTTTCTACATGAAAAAGTTGTTGCTCTATTTGGAATGGTCTGTTTTTGTTGAATTGAGGAAAATGTTTTCAAACTTAATGTGGCTCCAAAACGAGAGACTAAAAAGTAAAGCAACATGATTTTCAGTTAAACTTCCAGTGACGTAGAAGTTCATAATTTTAAACTCTGTGTGTATATGCGTGTGTGTGCACACATGTCTTGTGGCTATTTATTGAGCAAGGCATTTAATAGGAACTTTTGAAGAATAAAAAGAAAGTTACTAATTTTTTTATTTTTTCAGTTTACGATAAGGAAGAGAGTCATTCTGTGCTTGGTAGTTGTATACAGTATATTCTTGTGATATGATTGAGAGTTTTCCTTTGCTATATGAGGGTAAAATATTATATGAATTTTTTAAGAGATAGGGTCTCACTGTGTTGTCCAGGCTGAACTTGAACTACTCTAGGGCTTAAGTGATTCTGCTTCTTCAGCCCTCCAAGTAGCTGGGACTACAGATGCACATCTCCACACTGGCTTGTGTGAATATTTTTAGAAGAAAATACAGATAGAGAAAGTCATGAAATGAAGCATTTAAAACAACTGTTGTACTGTTTGTAGTTCTACAGTTTTTAGTTGGTTTTCTAAATAGAAATAATATTTCCATTTGACAACTCAGCTGATTCTGGGAAAGCTGCTTTTCTCCATTGGATACTATACCTCCTTTCTTTGGCATTTATTATTTTCAGAGAAGTCATACATTTGTAATAGAAAATAGGAAAAGAGAAAGCCTATATCATGTGAATTGTCAGATGTACAGTATGTCTTTAGTTGTGTTAGACTTAAAGTGTTTGTATTGGAACACTCTGTAGTCATTTGGAGCTTCTTGTCTGAGAAGGACTAGAATCTAGAAACTAAATCTTTTTATTTTTATTTTTTTGGAAATTATATCCAGTGGATTTAGACTTGCATTTTAAGGCTGGCTTCAGATTCTAAAGAAGGAACTATCAGGAGAGTGTGGTAATAGCCAGTAGGTGGCAGCATAGAGCATGGTATTGGAATCTTGAGTTTGAGGTTGGCATGGTGAAATAATCTAGGTAGTATTTGGAAAAGCAGTTAGAAATATTGATCTGATATTTGGGCAACAGAAGTTATGCATATCTTTTTTAGCTAGTTGGATTTTCAGTAACTAATCTGTAGAATGGATAAAGCAAATAACATTGTTTATATTTACTTTAAAAAATATATAGGTGAAAAATATGAAGTAGCCTCTTTGGGAAATAGAACAGGGATTCTCCTAGAGATTAGTAAAAAATTTTGAACTATACTTCAGGATTCTGCAGAAGTTAGAGAATATAATTTGAAAGGAAATGCAACTAATACGTTCTGAGCATCTGCTATGTGCCGGTTATTTTTACATGTTCCTTTTTTTTTTTTTTTTTTTTGACAGGGTCTTGCTCTTTCACCCACGCTGGCGTGATCATGGCTCACTGCAGCCTCTGCCTCTTGGGTTTAAGCAATTCTCATGCCCCAGCCTCCTGAGCAGCTGGGAGGGACTACAGGCGTGCACCACTATGCCCAGCCGCATGCTCCCATTTAATCTTCGAAACAATCCTAGTTTTATAAAGAAAGAAATGGAAAGGATCAGAGTCATTAAGTTCTGGGCAAAATCACATAGCTGGGATTTGATCCATGTTTTTAGAATATATGCATTTTGATAACAGTAGGAGCAGTAGCATGGAAAGTAGAGAGCAAGAATTAAGTAGGCCTTGGAATTCAATTGGAAAAGGGGAAAGAATTCTCAGTTGGACATTTCTGCAATTCAGAAGTTGGAAAGAGGGAAAGCATATTTGAAATGACCAATCCTAGCTGTGTTAGGAATCTGTTAGTGACTGACTGCCTCAATTATCTACTTACTGCTTTCCTTCCTCCCTTTTTCTGTTTTATGGACATAAAATAGGCACTCTAAAATATTTATTAAAAGAGTGACTAAGAAGTCAGGAGGCTTAATAAACTTGGCAAATTATAATAATTAATAGCTCTTTTGAGTATTTACATGTGCCTACCATATATACACAGTTCTCTGTGTACTGCTTATTCATGAGACTTTCCTTTAACCTTTTTTTAAGCTTCAAATTTAAAAATTAATTTTAGCCTTACGAAACAGTTGCAAAAATTATAAAAGGGAATCCCATATATTCTTTAGCCAGATTTTCCAAATGTTAGCATGTTATATAACCATAGTACAATTATAAATTCAGGAAATTCAATGATATAATAGTATAATCTACAAACCTTTGCAAATTTGCCATTTATTTCAATAGTGTCCTTTATCTCGTCCAAGATCCAGTCAAGGATTACAGTCTTACTGATGTATCATTTTTAGTGCACCGTATCAGAAAGCACATGGCGATGTATGCATTCATCACTTGGTTAAGGTGCTATCTGCCTCTTTTCTCTAAGATTTCTTTCTTTCTTCTTCTTCTTCTTCTTCTTCTTCTTCTTCTTCTTCTTCTATCTTCTTTCTTTCTTCCTCCTTCCTCCTTCCTCCCTCCTCCCTCCTCCCTCCTCCCTCCTTCTTCCTTCTTCTTCTTCTTCTTCTTCTTTCTTCTTCTTCTATTTTTTTCCCTTTTTGTAGTTAAAGGATTCCTTGTAGGGGGAGGTACTTTGAGATTTTCTAAATGTCCTCTTTTTTAAAATTACGCTAGTTTCAGATCATACACTAATTTTAGCATCCGCTGATGAATGTTACCTGAAAAAAATATTACTGTGATGTTAACCAAATGATTTTCTGTTTCCATTATTCTACCTTTATGAGTTGGAATTCTAGTGTAAGAAGGAACTTCTCTTTCTCCCCATTTATGTTGTCATTTTAATGTATCGGATGAATTCGAATTCTTATTCTGTGGATTATAATTCATTACAGTCATTGTTTACTTTGCAGTTCACATTATTCAAGGCCATTTAGAGCCCTTTGAAATTGGCTCTTACATCCTTTTTGACATCTTTCTTGCCTGTTTTTTTTTTGTGTGTGGTTTGTTTTTTTTTTTTTTTTTTTTTTTTGCACTTCGTTTTACTTTTTGGCATGAAAAG